TTACTGTATTTTTGATCAAATTAATGCAGCCTTGATGAGTATAACAGGCTTCTTTTAAAAACAGTACATACAGTAATGTATGGCCAGACTGACATACATAAAACTTTTAAGGTTTCTTATACCTTCCCAAGTTTAGATGACCCAGCCCGGACACAGGACACTTTCCCTCCGACATCTCCGGCAAACACTCGGAGGGCCACGGTGTCCCAGCACAGAGATGTTACTGTCTGTCCGCGGTGCTCCCAGGACACAGAGACGCGCTCCGGACGGCCACGCCGCTCCAAATGCAGCTCCCACACCACCACCAAACCCTGACTGGGGGACACACGCACCAAAAGAGTCCAGACTGGCAACCAAACACACCAGAAGCACATATAAACGTAGATGGGGTGAATATGAATACCTCGTTGCTACGGCGATAAAGTTTTCATCATGGGGGCAGCATGAGACCTGCGTGACTGAGCCTTCCTAAAAAAAAAAAAAAAGCAGAACTCACTTTCATTTTTTTTTTCATTTATAATAAGCTTCCCTATTTTCACTGTTGCCTGTGCACACTTCCTGCTTTCGAGCTTGTAAAAACACTTTTCATGGGTCAAAGTGGAGCATGATGCGCTCTGAGCCCTGACGTAAGTGTAAGTTGATGCCAACACACTACTCTGCATGACTGTGTGATCAATAGCTATTTATAAACACAGGAAAAAGCAAATACATCATGCATATATTGTTGCAGATTGCGCAAAGGCTGCATGTTTTGAGAACATTTTCTTTTGCAATTTTTCTACTAAAAATTGTAATTGTGTTAATAATAATTAATATTACTTATAAAATTATAAATGATACAATATTAAATATTAAATTAATTATAACCATTATTATTATTATTAAATAAAAAAAAAAATCTAATAGGAAATATTGTAATATTTCACTGTAAAATAAAAAAATGAGTATTCAAGAAAAATAACAATTTTTGAAACTGTAAAATTACAATATTTACTAATATTTATGGCTGTATAATAAATACAAATATTTCAGCAAACTTTTATTTTGCGGATTTAAAAAAATAATTACTTAATTTCTTTAAAATTATCATTATGTTGTCATTATATTTCAGTAATTTAGGCTAATACTGTAATGTTGCAATGCAAAAAATGATGATGGTAATTTTCTTCATCCAAAATATATTTTCAGATTTTTTTTCCTTTTGGATTTTGGGGTGAAAGACGACCCAAACATGTTTTGTCAGATTCATCCACTTACTCTCCATAACTAAAATAATTCTTATTAAATTCTTATTCTTATTCTTAATAAATCAAATAAACTGAACCCTGCAAACAGAAACTGAAGCATGATATAAATGATAAATTATACAGTATTAAACATAAAATTAATTATAACAATTAATATTATTATTAAATAAAAATAGAAAAAATCAAATAATAAATATTAATAATGTAATATTTCACTGTAAAAATTTTTAAAAAAAATTTACATTACAATTGTAAACTTACAGTATTTACTAATATTTATGGCTGTCTTATTTCCTTCATTTTCAAATGTTAAACCATTAAACTTTTATTTTGATGGAAAGCTTCTCTTTTGTTATTTTGAGTTTGCGTGGAGCAGCATTTACTCTGAGACGGATAATGAGCTGCTCACGTGTAAACGAACACAGAGTTTACTCAGTGCATATATTATTTAATTAAATCACAGCCTTTGTGATTTGACAATCACACTAAGCCATATCGCAATTCCTGTTTTATTTTGATTAATCATGCAGCCCTAATGCAAATACATTAATATCTAACATAACATTGAACAGTATTTCGACACTGCTGACAGTTCTGTGCACCAGCTCAATCACTAACTGTGTTAAAGGAGAACTTGTGAAATGATTTAGTTGTGTGTACTTTGTGTGTGAGAATGAGTTTCTGCTTCCAGCCGTCTCTCTGAATGAGGTGAAGTCCTCCGGCAGACGTGCCTAAAGCCAACCACTTCCTGGACACGGAGAGACATGTGCACTGCGA